TTATGGAAAGGCATAGAAGCAAAAGTCCTAGTGCAAATATTATGATTTGTAGGTTTTTAAAAGCATTCTATTAGAATTTTCACACTGGAAAGGACCTACAATTAATTGAATTAATTTCCCAGATGATGAAACTTGGGTAGTCTTACATCTTCCCATCTGTCACTGAGTTCCTTAGTTCTCTGACTTTATTGGTTGAAATAGAAATTTGAGGCTTTATTTTCTTTGGAACAAGCAATATTTTAGTTTCATAGAAATCACCTCTGTCTATCATTTATACTTTTCCTCCCTCTTTTTCTTACAAATTTAGAGATTAGCTATGAGTCTTTGAGAAAGTTCTTAGCTATTTCCTTCAGCCTACTTTCATATTTTTATTACCTGCTTTTGCAGAGCACTTTAGTAGGCATTAGTGATATTTATAAAGAAGGAGAAATGATTATTGCTCTTAAGAAATCTACAGTCTTAACAAGTAATTGAAAAATTCCAAAATAAACATATAAATCCCAGTTAATGAATCATGAATGGTTCAAATTAGCAGCAAAACATAGTTTTAGAAGTTTTAAAGCTTCCAGATAAAACAATAGTAAGCTGGTCGACCAGTCTGTGAAAGCTGGATAGGACTTAACATGGAAATGGCCATTTTATTTGGGGGAAGCAAAGGGATCTTAAGTCTACTTGGAGTAGAGGTACATGTAAAGGGATGTCTGTAAATGGGGGGTTAGCGCACAAGTACACCACGCTGAGGCATTTGAACAACGTGAATAAAAGACGTGGTTTATTTAAATGTACTGAAAAGGAGCTTTGGTTTTTCAGGCTGTGGCTTATGGTACCAGATAATGGGTCTCCAGTAAAGTGAGAGAATACAAAGATACCTTTCACTATCCGGTTGGGTGTTTGTGAGCAGTGATCATATAAGGATTTTAAACTGAAATTTAGATTGTCTATATCAATGGTAACACTAGATGCTACACAGGATAATGAATGTGACATAAAAAATGGCGGAGTCACGGAGCAGGATAGGATGTTCAGTAATTCTTGGGAGGTCTGTAGAACAAGGCTAGGGATACTATTTATATCTTCAGAAATTTATATACCAGTGCAACATGTACAGGTAGTAGGCAGAGTAAATTTGAAACCCTTACAAGGAAATGAAAATGAGTTTAGATATGTTATACTCATATACTCACTAGAATGAAGGATGTATCTTTGTCTTTTTCTAGTGAGAGAACATTAGAGAACCCATTACACTAATTTGCAAAATTAAGAGTAGAAGTGTGATTTGTAAAATTGTTCCAATAACATTCAATAATTCATCAATTTCAGTTGTGGCCATCGGAACCATTTGACCAGAGAAATGATCAGTTAAGCTTCTGATAGAAAATATTGATCTGGCTACATAGATTACATTAAGGGATAGATTTAGAGATAGAGAAGCAAGCTAGATGTCTAATTTAAGTAAGGAGAGCATGTAGGCATTGGTACCAAAAATAAAAGCTAATGGTAATTAAAGACTATCAGTCAGTGTTATTAATTAAAAAACAAAATGGGATTGAGGAATTGTGGAGTGCATCTGTTTTCTCTGAGCACCATTCATTTGCTTATCATGGGTTGGCCATACTTAACATATTACTAGTAGTTCTGGAAACCACACTTTGACATACTGATCAAGTGAATGTATACTAATGAAACTGACTGAGATGAACAAAACCACTCAGAACCATTGCATGAGAAATGGTTGTGATACTTAGCTTCCAGATGAATAGGCTCAGTAGATACATGGTTATCATGCTAGTATTAAAAAATAGGAATTGCTCTCTTCAGGAAGAAAAATTAGTTGTATGTCTGTGTGTTTCCACATCTAAGGATTTTGACTAAAGACTGGAAACTACAGAGAGGGAGGCTTTGGCTTCTTTTGGGGGAAAAACTTTCGAATGATATGAGTTTCTTGCCAATGGAATGACTTGTTTTGTGAGGTAGTAAATTTCTCTTTATTGCAGGAGTTCAAACATAGTTGGACTAAACTTGGTGGGAATTTTTCACAATATTGAAGTTTTGGTTGAGTATTCATTGGAGAAGATGAAAAATGTTGTACTAGATATTTTTAAGGGCCAGGGAATCTTGAGTTTATGATTTCAGGTAGTGAGAGTGGGAAAGGAATACCAAGAATCTGTTTTTCTTCCCTGGTTCTTCCTCTCCTTTCCCACTTCTCTCTCCTCCCCTCCCCTTTTCTCTCATCTCCTTTCCTTGTCCCTTCCCCCCTTTTCTACCCTTCCCGCCTTCCTCCTTTTCTCTCCTTTTAATTTCCCCCTTCTGCCTTCATTTCTTCTCCCTTATGAAATAGAAACTTTGCTATAAGTACTGGGAATACCCTGAGGAACAAAGAAGACACAAAACCCATGCTTATGAAAGTTACAGTTTTTTGTTGGAGCTGTTACCAACTCTAATAAATGCTAGGGAAGAACAAATAGGCATCCATGCAATGAAGGGAATCTGATCTACTTTGGGAAATGTGGAGCAATTCATGGAGGAGGGGAAATAACTTCAAGGAATCTATTCGACATGTAAATGATTTGGTGAAGTCATTTAGAAGAGAGGAAGAAATTACAGATTATGTGAAAAACTTGAGACTGCAACTAGAAAGAAACAGAAGAAAGGAAGAAGAGTTGGCTTTTAAATGACGATGTTTAAGTTGATTTTTACTCTTTTGAGTATAAAAGTGTTGATAGATCCAGTTTTCAATGATTGATTTTGGACATATTGGTAGATAAAAACATGAAGTACTTCTTTTAATAAAGTAAGTTTTCCTGTAGCTTAGTAATCTTAACTTTATTTTATTTTACTACAATATCATTTTAAATCTTAATTCTCTCCTGGCATTTATTTTAGAGTTAACTATAAAAATTCACAGATTTTTTTCTTTCAAAATTACTAAAAAGACCTGGGATTTTATTGATAAAATAAATGGAATTAAATAAAAGGGTTACATAGAAATAATAACATTTCTTGTAGCATTCAGAAATAACAAGAATGAGTTAGTTTGAGATTCGGTCATGCTAAATTACTATCCAGTTATATCTGTGGAGTTCTAATTACTGCCTGTGTATTTCTTCCCTGAGATTTACATTTAAATAAAAATGTGAATGATGAAAATATTTTTTTAAAAACAGATTTTTAAAAAATTTATTTTTTTTAAAGATTTTATTTTATTTTTAGAGAGAGAGGAAGGGATGAAGATAGGGAGAGGAACATCAATGTGTGGTTCCTCTCATGCGCCCCCTACTGGGGATCTTGCCTGCAACCCAGGCATGTGTCCTGACTGGGAATCAAACCCAGTGACCCTTTGGTTTACTGGCCAGCACTCAGTTCACTGAGTCACACCAGCCAGGGTCAAATGATGAAATATTATGCATACGAAATTAACAGTCATTTCTCTCCACATTATAAATAACATTAATTTTTTAAAAAAACCTTTCATTACAGAAAATTTCAAACATAAACACAGAGAAAGACTAAAATTATGAATCCTATGTGTCTGTCTCCTTCACTCAGCTTCAATGATTCTCAATTTCAGGCTAGCCCTAACTCCATATTATTTTGGTCAAAGTGTCAGAATCATATCATTTAACCTGGAAAAATTTCAGCACATATCTTGAAAAGATAAGCAGTCTTTGAAAAAACAAATCCAAGATAATTAATAGTAATATGCCTAACTAGTAATAATTATTTGATTATATTCATTTTCAAATTTATTGTTTTAAACTTTTGAAAGTTTATTAACATATTCAAAACATTTGACATTAGATGAAGTAAAGCAGTTTTTTTCCAAAGGTTTTTTTCTTGCTATATAGACTTGGATGTGTACATGAATAATCGGAAGCCACTGGCACTTGGTCAATAATTTTCTAACATGATGGTGCAAAAGTCCAGATACTCCAGCACCTCTAAAGTTCATTTTAATTAGATGTCAGGCTCTATTCCTTTCACATAAATGATTAACCATACAAAGTTTCCAGAAAGAATACAATAAGTAGTTATTTATAGGAAAAGGAATGTTGGCTAAAAAGTTGGTTTGTTTTTAGGTTATAGGGTGGGGAAAGAGTGTTAATTTCTCTATCATCCCCCCTAAAGCAGACTAAGTTTTGTACTGCCAATTTATGAAAAAGTCAATGAGTCATACCAGGAGGATTTTGCTAGTCAGTTCCTACTCTGAGGTGACATACTATAATCTAGTAAAAAATACTTGCATTTTGACATTAGGAGAATCACTTTGTGAAATTTTGTGCAGTATATTTGACAATTTTGAATCTAATACTATATCTATATCATAAGATAAAATGAATGAATATGTGAGAGGAGTTTTGTGAATTTTAGGTGCTTTTTAGTCTAGTTTTGCCTAACAAATTAACTCCACAACTTCATGTCTTCAAACAACAATTTAGTGTCTTCATGCTTCTGTGGAGATGGGCTCACTAGGAGAGGCTCAATCTGGTGTTCTCTCTTGCGGTTATAGTTCGGTGGCAGCTGGGCTGGAGTCAGCTGAAAGTTTAAGAGGCCTCTGTCTCTAAGAGAGAGCCTTCCTTCACATGTCTGGCACCTCAGCTGGGATGGCTGACATAGCTAGGGGCTGGCCAGGTATCTCTCTCTTATCACCCAGCCATTCCATAAGGCTATCCTGGGCTTCCTCAGAGCTTGGTGGTCTTCCTCAGGGTCGACTTCTGACACGGCAGCAGGCTTCCCTCAGAATGAGTGTTCTAAGAGTTTGAGGGAAATGGAAAAACTTCTTTTGACCTAGCCTCAAAAGTCATGTGGTACCACTTCTACCTCATGCTAGGTAGTCAAAACCTAGTTACAGGAAAGTTCAAATATATTGGGAGGCAAGGATCACTGGGGACATTGTTGGTGCTAATATAATATTTTACTAATCTAATTATTTTTATACATTCTTATTGATTCTCTATGCCACCAAAAGTTTTTACGTTTGATTTTTTTTTTTTTTGGGACAGGTTATCAAGGATCCTCCTCCACCACCACCCTCTGCACCAAAAGAGGTAAATGAATGCCCAATAAGTGATTTAGGTGTTTTTCTCTGTATTAAGGTATTATCCCTTAATTTGACCAATTACATTATTGTTAAAAAACTGTGATACCTGTGTATGAACTTTTGAATTCATGAAAATTGATCGTTATTGTTTGTCCTCTTATGATTTCTTGCATGTGTTAAAGGAATGAATCCTTCACACATGGATAAACATAGACTGGCTATTGAGATCAACAGTGTAGAGAGATTTAATTTACTTCTTATAGCAACCTATGAATAGCTCTGATATCACTTATTTTGTTTACAAAATGTTGGAAAATCCAAAGTGGCAGTTTAAAGTTGTTATTACGTTCTTCAAAATGACAATTACAGTAGGCGGCCTTATCTGCAGTTCTCCTTGCTGTAGTTCTAGTTACTAGTGGTCAGCTGTGGCCCACTGAGGTCTGAAAATATTAAATGGAAAATTTCAGAAATAAACAATTCATAAGTTTTAGATTCCATGCCATTCTGAAGAGGGTGATGAAGTCTCACCCTGTCTCACTCGGTCCTTCCCAGGAGGAGCATCCTCTCTTTGTCCAGGGCGGCCATGCTGCATGCCCGCCTGTCGTAACTCAGTAGCCATCTCAGTTGTCAGATCAACTGCCACAGCATCTCAGTGCTTGTGTTCAGTTAACCCTTGTTTTATTTAATAATGGTTCCAAAGTGCAACACTAGTGATGCTAGCACTTTGGGTGTGCCAAAGAGAAGCCACAAAGGGCTTCCTTTATGTGAAAAGTTGGAAGTTCTCAACTTAATAAGAAAAAAAAATATGGTGAAGTTGCTGAGGTCTATAGTAAGAACAGATTTTCTATCCATGAAATTTCCTAACTTATAAGTTAAACTGTATCATAGTTATGTATGTACAGGAAAAAATCATGTATCTAAGGTTTGGCACTATTCCCAGTTTCAGGCATGCACTGGAGGTCCTGAGGAGAGCGGGGAGGGACTGCTGTACTTTCATATAACTCTATTTGTTAGGCAAAACTGTGTTAGCAACATGAAAAAAGGAATGTGCTGGTGTACATTTTCAAAGCTTCTCAACTACCTAAGATTTTAGTACTTCACAAAATTCAAACTTACACATACTTTGTTGTTTTAAATGATTCTTGAAATGCCGCCCTCATTGTAATGTTTTATCTTTTTAAATATGAAATGATGAATAAGAAAAACACAAATGATGCTCATAGCAACTTTTGATAACCTAGTGAATCAGGGAGATCCCTAAAATAGTGGAAGGGAAGGAGCACGCATATTCTCTAGAATGCCACTGGAAATTTATGCATGTAAGCATAAATACGTCTACATGCCTCATACATAACTTTTACTACATTTCTGCGTTATGAATTGCATTAATTAAATGGTTAAATGTGAGCCAGTTCTGACTAAAAAATATTTTAATAATTTAATTTAACCAATTTTTAAAATTTTTATCTAAATAGGAGGAAGAAGATCCTCTGCCAACCAAGAAATGGCCGACTGTGGACGCTTCCTATTATGGCGGGCGAGGAGTTGGAGGAATTAAAAGAATGGAGGTTGGTATCTTTAAAAAAAACAGAAGCTGCTCATTTGGAATATGTATTTCCAGAACTATAAAGTCATGGAAACTGTACTTTTTATAATTCACTATCACAATACATCCATTTTTACTTAACACTGGCTCTTTTGGGGATTTTTTTTTCCCCTGTGGAATCATTTTAGCCATTTCAAAACTGTTCAAGAAGAACTGACTTCATTAGTCAAAGAATTGCATTGATAAGACATCTGAATTCTAAAGGGCAAAACAAAGTTAGGGTTTTTCTCACTGTTTTGGAAAAAATGACTGTAGAGAACATCAACTTTGAAGAAGCCAGCCACTTAAAATTGGAACAATGCACATCTTTGAAAAGATGTAATAGTTATGTACTATTTGAGGAGAAAAATGTTAAAATATTCAATAGGTATGTATATGACCTTATTACAAGTGTAGGGGAAGCACATTTAAAGCTTTTTTTTTCAACATTTAGTTACCACATATGAACAATGATAATTGATATGAAGTATCATTTATAGAAAGTATTGAATTTTTTGACTGACTCAAATTGTGGAATAAACAGAACTTCAATATTATATCTTAAAAATCAAGTGAGGTCTTCTAACCCCCACATAAATACTTTTATAAGTGATTAGTTAATAATAAGCAATCATTGCCAACACTGAGCCCTTAACATCTTTAGTTAGGCCCACATTCTCACCTCAACACGCAAAGGAAGGAATTTTCGCATTGATATATTGACTTTATTATTAAACACAGATCTTGACATTTTTCTCATTAGTTATCCTTTAATTTTACTTCTTGGTAAGTTCTTTTATGCTGTGCAGTCACGGCACATGTCTCCTACTGTCATATCTGCTTTTTCCCATTACCACCAGCAAAATTCAGCTAATAAACAACCTTAAAACCATTGCAATTTTCTGTTTTTATATACTTCAATAAAATTGAAATTCCCAAGAAAAATTTCCCCTTTTCAGAATAAATTTCAGTATTTTTAAAAAGAAGTGCAGGCCCACTTAACATGATTGTCATTATCTATGTGGTTATTCAAGTCATCTGATAGTGATTGTCACTTTCTTGAACACTTCAGATGTTAAAATCATGCACATTTTCCCCTAAGAGCTTGCCACTGTATTGCTGAAATATCCTCTGAGACAAGTACCTCGTTGACAATAAGCCTCGAAAAAGGCAAGTGGTGGAAGCTATTAAGTTTGTGTTTTGGAGAACAGGTTGCACCTGTGTTTGCATGTGGGTAGCTGGGAATATCGAGTAGTATGAGGAGCATAGCTGGGCTAACTCTTGTTGCTTGACACAGAAGGAAGGTCATTTTCCTTCAGGCTGCCTTTGTGTCATTCTAGGCTTGGAAGGGTAGGAAAGATTGGATTACATATTCCTATTTATTTAAAAAATACATTTGTAAATAAAAGTGTTACATATGGATATCTAAATATGATCTGTCACCACTTATTTTTAATTTAGCCTCATTCCAAAAACGTATGTGTAAAAAGATGTATGCAAGGGGAAAAAAAACGTTTTGACAGAGTACACCACAAAATGTTAGAATAGTTTTCTCTGGATGGGTGGTTTTCAATTTGTAATGTATATTTCTCTATTTTTTTCCTAAGTTATTTGACATTGAGCATACACTACTTATACGGGGTGAGTCGAAAGTAGGTTTACAATTGTTAGTATGCGAAACACAAGAGCTATTCTTGCATTATTTTTTGTTAATTATTGTTTTATTTTCTATACGAACAACTGTAAACCTATTTTTGTCCCACCCTGTATTCAGAATAATAAATGTAATTCCATTTTGAAATCCACACTTGTAAAATACTTCACATGAGATATGGATATATAAGTATGTGATATATTAGTATATTTTAAATGAATAAATAATGGTCTTGCTGAAAAGTCTAGAAATTATGCCAGATTTATGCTAGTTCAATAGTCCAGTGTTCCAAAGACTGAGATCTTCTAAAGAAAAGCAAAGCATAGGCGTGAGCTAGATGGCTCCTGAGTTAAGGGATGTGTTACTGGTTTATGCTCAAGAAAGCCAAGGGCTCTTGCACATTTTTGAATGACTTGCATTTCAAGTTTTAAGCACTATTGGATCCTAATATGTGAAATTATATTGCCCATTTTGTTGAGGAAAATTTATGAAAAGAACTCACCCACTTTTAATAAATTGAGGTCCATTTTAGCCTTAGATAATTCTGGCTACATTTTATGGTGTATTCTATCAATGAGATGGAAATGGGAATGAGAATGAGAAAAAAAATCTGGGCATTACAAAGGGGAAACACAGTACATAAAAATATAGAATAAAAATTGAAGTGAGAATTAAGCATCATTACACTTTCTTAAATATGAACTTACTTAAACTTGGAGAGGGAAAATAGAATACATAATCTGTTTTAAAAGTATGCCTAGTCAAACCTGGAAAGCATTTACTTAATTTTAAAAATACATTCAAGTGGGGAGAGTAAAAGGAATTACAGAAATTATGACTACATCTGAATTACAGAACAAATCTTCCTAACTAATGTTATTTTAAGCTGGTATAGGGATTTTACCTAGAAAATATTTTTTACTCCTATGTTAAATTAAATATTTAAACACTATGGTAATGGAAATTTGCAGAAAATTGGAACTGAGCTGATGTTAATAGCAGCTGTTAGCACAACTGATCCACAATACCTAATGACTTCAAGTGGGTGTTTCTGCCAATTCAGCGTGAAACTGTTTTTGTTTCTTTTCTCAATTCTGAATTGCTTCTTTATGATACAAGCTCCTAGTCATCCAAATATGGACAGAAATCCTGATTTCAGGATTTTGTAATTCAATTTAGCTATGTCTAAAGATTTGAAAAGTTTTAGATTACCTAGGTGAAGTCACTATGATTTGAAAGAGAAGGTCATTTCTGTGGAAAGAGAGCCAGGTATCTAGCTCTAAAGGTTTAATGGTGTTTAACACAATTTTAACAACCTCATAAAGAACATTCTAGTATCACTGATCACACTGAAAGATACAGATACATTTTAATATCTCAATAGGGTCCAATTGAAATTGAAAGTCTATTCTGAAATTGTAGTAAAAAAGGATAAAAACACCTAAGTAAGTTGTGAATAGTTCTTGCTATGAAAAGTGATCATCTGTATTCCTACCCACTCATTGAGGTCATTAAAATGCTTTGAAGTGTACTTAATCTTCTTGTTTTTTTCATAGAAATCACTTACCTCTGGTGAGTCAGTGTGCCCTGGACGGGACTTCCTATTGCTTTTTAGCACTTAACTCAGCTTGTCTTGGTCATCTTTGGGAATGTCCCTGGTTTTGGACTTCCCCACTGCTCTTGCTTGGACAAAGCCTTTCTTGAAGGGCTGCATCCTAGTCATGTGCTCACAAGTGAAGAAGGGTAGTTCAGATTTAGCTCTTGTTTCTAGTTCTTTGTAAAATAAAGAAAACAATCATTTGACCCTGTAGTTTTTCAGTATCCGGAATTTTCAGAAAATGGAATTTCCTAAAATTTATGGAATTCCCTGAATTTTTCTTTCCGAAGCAGTTATTTTTCAAATTTGTCTACCTTAGTGAAAAATTGATGTGTCAAGGAACCCTACTCAGAGGAGAACAGGAACTAAAGACTGAACGTTACTTTACAAAATAAGGCTTTACAAAAGTAAGGAAAAGTCGTATATAATTACTTCTGAAGGCTAAATTTTAAATCATACATTTAGCCTTAATTGAACTTAATGAAATGTTTGGAAGGAAAAAATAACTCCTTTGTGTAAAATACATTTATAAAGAGCAAACCTATTTGAAACTTATTAACCTACTTCAGACTGTTGATATTCAAATCCCTGCCCTGCTACTTACTAGCTATGTGGCTTTGGGCATATCACTTAACTTCATCTGTTTCAGTTTCCTCATCTAGAAGGAAAAAATACATTATCTATCTCATTGCATTTTTGTATGGATTAAATGCGGACTGGCACATAGTAAGCACTCAATAAATGTTAATTATTATTCTCTATTTCCTTCAGTGACATCATATATATGTGTCTGTGCTTAACTGGAAGGGGAACCTCTCTAATTAGAAAATACGATTACACACTGTCATGCATTTCATATGTAAACCACAAATTAACTCCTCATTTTTTCAAAAATGAAGAAATGCTTGCTTCAAATTTTAATTGACTCCAGATTTTTACAAAGGGTCTTTTTTTCCTTTTTTCTGGGATCTTAATGTTAAGTACATAAGTAGTGTTGATAAACCTATTAAATCTCAGAAGAGGAGGGATTTAGAGTTAGTCTACCTATTCATCTTTTTACTGTGAGGTGGTTAATTGAAGGACCACCGGCTAAGTCAGAATTCATTTTTCTAGGATATTGTTTGTCTAATATAGGTGTTTGTCCTTTGTTTGAAAGGTTCGCTGGGGGGATAAAGGATCTACTGAGGAAGGTGCAAGGCTGGAGAAAGCCAAAAATGCTGTGGTGAAGATCCCTGAAGAAGCAGAGGAACCTGTTAGGCCAAGGCCACCTCGACCCAAACCCACGTACCAGCCTCCTCAGACAAAGTGGTACACCCCAATTAAGGTGATTGTCCAAGTTGGTGTAATTTAACTAGAATTTCCCAGAGAAACTGTGACTATCTGAAGGGAGATCAAGGTATGTCGTGTAGCAGACATACATTGTGCAGTACAGCAACTGAATACTTTCTCAGCAACAAGAATGTCCTTTTTTTGTTGTTGTTGTTATTTACTTATTCATTAGTTTAATTTATGAAATAAAGGAGAGTAGAAAGTAAGGCTTTCTTCATTATTTTAACTCATTTATTCAGTCAGTAGATGTTGAATGTGTTCCCTATGAATTTACAAATCATGTTCCCTTTAGGGTCGGCTGGATGCGCTCTGGGCTTTGCTGCGGCGACAGTACGACCGGGTTTCCTTGATGCGACCTCAGGAAGGAGATGAGGTTTGTGTATGGAGTTGTGTTGGGAAAGAGTTGACTACTTGGGTCCATATAATGAAAGCAGTAAAATTATAATCAGAGGGAATTTAAAGCCTTCATTACATTTGAGGAAGGAATTATCATCTCGTGCAAATTCCTATTACATAAGGTGCTTAAGAAATTATTGTCTATTGTTAGAATACATCCTTAAGCTGCAGTTTAACACCAGTCCCTTTTCAAGTAATACATAAAAAATTATGATCCATCGTACACATGCTTTAATAAGCACATTCATTGCTTTAGCCTTTGACTCGGACATCACGTTCTGATTTTGCCAAGTGGGAGGACAGGCCGGGGACTAGGCATTGAAGCCTTTCTCCAGCATTTGTTAGCAAGGAGGCCTGGAAAACATGTCTCACAGCCTCCATTTCTTTAGGTCTACACGTGCTATTTCCCTGCTCCCAACAGTTGATGTAATCTAATTTCTCAAATATATGTAAGTGTCTTTAAAATCATTATAGAAATACATACACACATATACACACATACGCATATATGTTGAAAAGCATAAATACATGCACACATGTGTGTATGCATTTTCCCTACCAAGGAAGCCTGTGGAATTACTGCAGTTTTATAATTTCTTTAATATATTAGCATTATTTCCTATTGTATAAATATAAGAAAAATGGTTTAATGTGTAATAATGGCAGGTTTGGTTCAGAAACACACTATTGTTAGTGATATTAGCAGGACCTCTTAATTACGTGTTAGCAAGTCTGTGAACTGCATTCACTTAAGCTTCAGAGGACTTTAGGTTCATCTGAGTCCAATAGGCTATTTTTTTTTTTTAAGGATAACATAGTAACATAATTGATGAGATTAATATTTACTTTCTAGTGCAAAGCTGTTATATTTAGTGTTATGTAATTCTAGCTTGCTGCTTGAAATATGAAAACATGTAAATCCTAAGGCTTTACTTCTATGAGATGGGATAATATTAAAAACATCTTGAATTTGTCAACCATTTATGAAATACAGCTTGAGGAAGTATTCCTGGAATGTTCCCAGCAGATCACTTATCTTTGCTAGGACCCCAGGTAGGAGAGAACCTGGTGGTTTATGGAGCAGCCTCTTTCATTACCATGGCACTGGGGTTATTAGAATGGTCTTAATATCTAAGGAAATCTATGCCCCTGTTTACATGCATACTTGAGTTCTGTTCTGGAACAACATACAGCAAACAACTCTACTTACCCTTCAATGTGCTAGACTTTTACTTTATGTTTTAAAATTGTTTTTTTGACATCTTAGTTTTATTCCATTTTAGTTTTCTCTCCCTCGTGTTAAACACTAGTTCATTTCTTTAGTCATTTTCACCTTTTTAAGTGTTGGGTATTGCTAACACTGAAGATTTATTGGCCAGAAAAAAGAGAGAGCGTTTCCAGCACTCTTGCCAGTACTCTATATATTTTTTCATACTTATAATTAAAATATATTTTTTAGTCTTTCAACATTCCTACTAATTTTGATTTAATTCAATAATTTTGAATTATAGATATGTACAAGTAATGGCATCAGGTAATACTAAAGGGCAGGGGTGGTACAAACTGTAGCCTTTGTCTTTAAGAAACCTGAAATTTGTTTGGGAAACAAGACATATACAAAAATAATATTTATTCCAGAATATGATCTGGATCATATTATAGGTAGGTATCAAGTACTCTTGAGTACATACAAGCAAGAGAGACGAACTTTTCCTGGAGGAATTTGGGAATGCTTCTTGAAAACCTTAGGCCTTATACTTTGAAAATAGGAAGGACTTCATCAGGTGGAGTTAGGCAGAATGAGCATTTCCACTGAGGAAGCATCATGAGCAAAGTGCCCGAGGTAGCCAAGAATACAGTGATCTGAGGATAACTAGATAGGCTGGAGATTGGGGGAAACTCCAGAATAATTTGGCAACAGAAGAGATCTTTTAGTTTGGACAAGGTGATATATTTGGTTTTTAAAATGATGCATTACACTCATTATTTTGTTCATTCAACAAACGTTTATTTAGTGCCTACCATGTACCAAGAACTTCGTTAGATACCAAATAAATTTAGTGTTCTTCTTAAATTGTAGTGCTGGAATATTTTACATGTTGCCCCAACAGTTTTAATTAGTATTTTTTCTTTCCATGATGGAAGACTAATACTTCTATTATTCTGACCCAGATTTCTTTTGATTTTTAGTAATTGCACACATATTAATTTAATATTGTCCCAAAGCCTTCTATTCCAACTCTTGAAGTCAAACTGTTTCAAATTTAAATTTTTCAGATTTTAGGAATCTGATATAGTCTATATATTATATTTATGTAAAGCAGCACCTCCTGATCATATCTCAGACATTTTGCTCCAAAAGTATTAATTGCTAAAAGTGGGTAAATGTAGACTATAAGTAGTCTCAGGTTAGCTCAGGTCAGGTTTTTACTTGTAAATGAATTTTGATGACAAACTTTGCACAAAAGTTTGTTTTCAGAGATTTTGTATTTCAAAAGTTTAGATTAAAAAAGTAGGCCTTTATTGTGTGTGATTAATTAAACCAGTTTTTCCACTTTAGGTATGCTATTTATGATTTTTTGTTTGTTTTTACTTTAAGCTTACAAAACATCAATTGTTGGTTCAATTAACTAATTTGCTATTCTTTCAAATACATACGATTCTATATGTGCTTGACACTGACTTAATCTTTCTTCATTACGCCTATTTTTGATAACTTTACTGGTTCCAGCATTTTGTCACCTAAAAATTTGTCACTTATTTGAAGCCACTGTTAAAACCTCAGCGTGACCTTCCATGTGCGCCTTTCCCAACAGGCTGACACTCCACCGTTAACTGATGTTAGTATTGTAAAGCTAGGAACCACCCAACTGTATAAGCTCAGTTTACCATTTTATTCACAAGACTATTTAATATATTTTGTTAAATTATTTGCTGGATTTAAGGTGTAATGTATATTTATGTGTTCCCCCATCCAACGAACCAATAATGCAAAATTCTTTGGTTATGGAAATCAGGTAAGCTTTACATGAGTTATTCTTTTGCTTCTGTTTCTTGCAAGTGATCTTTTATATCTATTATTTTTTTAGGCTGGGGTTTGATACAAAATCTGTAGTTACTGACATAAAACCTTTTCCCTTTAAACAACTTGGGAAGTCTTTTCCCCTCTGCTTTCTTTGTTTATTTCCCATCCCGTTTTTCATGTTTCACAAAGATTATTAAGAATATTTGTTTCTGTCAACCCTACATCATCAGCCAGATCCTCATTATTTGATAGAATTAATTCCAATGTAAACTTCCCATCCCACAGAAATATAACCTGTATTTTTTCAGAGATTAAATGATAGAATTAGCAAGAATTATGTCAATACTTTAGCAGAATTAGTGTTCTGTATTCTAACAATTTTAGATAACTGAAGAGTTCCAATTTTTGCATATGTTTACATTACATTTTAGAAAGTCATACTGCTTTAGTTACAAGGTCTCTAGAATGCTTTCTTCTTCCTCTGTCCCTCCCTTTCGCCCTGCCTTTCCCTTCGCTTTCCTTCCCTTCCTTTCATGTTTTTTCTTCTTTTTCTCTTAAACACATTTATCTCCATTATGCTTTCATTTTCAGGTTTGCTAATTTCTTTTACCAGTTAATGCATTTCTTACACACTATGTTACACACAAATTTTCTCTTTGGCTTTATTTGAATGACCGAAGGCTTGTAGTTACTCTGGTCTCCTCCTAATGAACACAGTAAATATCATTACTGACAAGGGCCACCATGTAACTCTATGATACTTGTGCTGAGGAGAATCTGTACCAATCATAGGAGAATTAATTATAGTAAATATTTTGGTGGATTTTATTTTAAAATCTTCACAATAACTGAAATACATCAAATACTATTAGCCAAAAAAGTCATATTTAACTACTTGTTTAAATAAAACCACAATTGCATAGTGCAGTGGCATAATCTGTACTGAGACTCTATCTCACAAATTTTATTTTATAAAATGGAAGCATTTAATAATATCTTAAATTCCAGTACTTTTAGCTTTAGAGTATTTTTCATTTGGGAAACCTAAAGTAATTTGACCTTGTACAAAAATGAGGCTCCAGAAGTAAAGAATCAGCAAGTGACACATACCCACACACATGCAAGGTGTTCACTGTCCTTTGAAACCATTTATCAATTTTGTATCACAAATCTATTTTCCCATTAAATATTAGGAAATTTGTCAAGAGTATTTTGTCAGCTCAGATTAGATACACTCATTCCCCCTAAAACGGTTTGCCTCTGAACATCAAATAATTCATTGGATCAAAAGTTGTTAGCTATTCAAGGTCAATTCTTTTTAAAAGAAAGTTTATCAATATGTAAATTGGTGAATAACTTTTGCAAATGATATTGTTATTTGCCTGTACTCACAACGGCTGGTGTGTGTTCACTATTGATTATGCTTATGAAGTATTTGTGTGATGGTCCAGGTGTGTGGGTAAATACAAAGCAGTTTGGAAAAATATTCTAGTCGGAATTGAATGCAGTTTGTTTTTTTACTGTCAAGAAACAAGTAAGAATGCTTTCATTCTGGAATTTTTAAAGGAAGTAATAGTCACTCTTTTCCTTAAAAAACAAAAAATGAAAAACAGCTTGATGCTGCTTAAGAGAGAGAAAACAATTGTTTTTAGGCTGTGGTTGATGGTTCCAAAATAACAGAACCTCTGCCTAGTCAGGGGTACGATTTCTACCTTGGAAAACAATCTTGTCGTCTATTTATAAGTTGTTTACCGCAGATTCTGCCTCTTGAGAGTGCAGTTTAATAAGCAAATCAGCGAACGTAGAACGTAGAACAAAACCCAGAGTCACGCACACTTATTCTGCAAGTCAAATACTCTCCTTTTATGGCTCAGTCGCCGCACCGGGCTCATTTGCAGAATCCACCGCTGAATTGAAGTCCTTGATCAAGTAATTGAAGTTCAGGCATAAAG